CATACATTTATTTGCTCACATCTACATGTATCACACAGTCATGATCAACGTCACTTTTCTACGTGACAAACGTTGAACACCCTTACTACAAATCGGCATTAGCTTTTATATTTCTTGTTTCTCTAAACTTTTTCGGTATATATTTAAAAACAAGAACATTGAATGCATTTCTTTTTTTAATGATAATTAATTTAATATCTCAGAGGTCTATACCATTTTTTTTACCAGCAGGTGATACCTTATAGCATGATAGAAAAGGAAACCAACCCCCTTTCTGATATCATCGCAACTAATAAATTGTTTGGACATTTCATATAAATTTTACTATGAAATTTCATAGAACTTAAGGAATGGGGTTAAAATAGCAAATTGTATGATATATTTTTGGATGACAAATGCTGATATAAAAAAAGTTGTTTTTTCAGTTACATGTACATTTAGGTAAAAAATTCGTAATCTTCGAGGTTGCGCCGCCTTTATATACCATTGCTTGAAAGACACCAAGAATTCATAAAAAAAATATTTAATGATGCATCATTAATAAATAAGATGATGCTAATAAAAAAATTAAAAAGTCTAAGTAGCTTTTCTTTACATATTTTATTAGATATTCATATATAATGCATTCATTTACAGAAGACTTTTAACTCGAAGACATCTTATTTGAATATATAAATAAATAGAAGAATACAAGATTTTAGCAATGAAATACCGACACTCTCGACTTGTATGGCAGCTTTTGGCGAAAGTTATGTTTCTCAGATACATGTATGTAAGTGGAACTAAGTCCAAAGCTTAAAGGGTAATGTCAAAAGATAAAAAAAAATGTTTCACAGAAAGAAAGGACTTGTCTCAGTGAACATATTTCTAAAACATGAAAGTCCAAGCACCATCCATTGAATGTTTTTTTTTAATGTGGTAACAAAGGGAGGAGGTGATCTCTATATGAAGAATGAAATAAAGATCTTGTCAGTCAATTAAGATAAAATGCTTTAAGCAATACGGCCCACCAGTTTACAAAATTAGCACATATCTACAACATATAATACAAAAATTATGACTGGTAATGCATCATAAAAGGTACATTCGGAAGTAGTGCAACTGGAGATAAACAAGAAAAAAAACTATCAAATTGAATCTTCGTAACGTAAGTGCTTCAACATTAAGCTATACTTATACTTATCTAGGTAACTCAACATTGTTTTTATTTTTTTTCCTGGTTTACAGAACGATTAATCATGCCGGGATTATTGTCTTAAGAGCCTGTCTACAAGAAAACCATGCAGATATATAGAAAAATGCTCTGGTAGGCACTCTCAAGAACAAACTAATTTTTATTATAAACTTAAAGGGCACCCATTGAGAGTCAGAAATATGTTGTTTATTTTTGCATCAGATGTTTCTATTTTTAGTAACAGCCAAGAATTCATTTTGGTCAATATTCAAGGGAAAATGCAAAAAAGTTGGTGTAAAAATGACAATTTCAATATTTAAAAGTAAAAAAGAAAAAACAATATATAAATAAAAGGGCTATGTTTTCTCATAGAACTAAGTCCTAAAATTAAGTTGGAATCATTTTTTTTTGTAAAACCCCGATATAGAAGGCTGTTCCGAGGGCACAAATATTGGCATGGTGCCAAGAAATGATAATGGTTCATTTTTTGTTAATATTCAGGGATACATTTCTTAGAAAGTGACGCTTCTTTTTTCACAATTTTGTGCATTTAAGAATCTCTAGGATATTATCCCAACAATATGTAAAATCCACCTTTGGACTCTCAAGGACAGAAAAGTTATACCGTAATGAACTTACCTCAAATTCAAATGATGGAAAAGTTCATGATTTTATAAGGTTTACTTTTAACAGTAATTTTAATGAATTTTGTGTAAAATATTTACAAATATAAACAATGAAAATTATTTTTAATTTTATAAAAGCTATAAATAATTTTTTCCTGGCTTTCCTGTGAAAAAAAAACCGTATTTTACGATTTATTTAGATTTTGTTAGAATTATCTCCCCTGTTGCGCTCTTCTGTAGAGAAGGTAGATAATGATTATGTTTACGAAGTTTATAAACAGATGTCATTCGGCTCACCTCGGCTGACTACGGTACCATACATCAAACATCGATTTGATGTAATCGGCCGAGGTGTGCCGAGTGGCACAGATGTATGTCATCTAATCGTTTTAGGCATAAATTATGTGTGATTTGAAGAAAATTGTCCCTCCTGTGAATGTAATTTGTTACGTATATATTAGTGGCCTAATGTATAGAATGCATAAAAAATTATGAAAACCATCGGGATCGAAGTACGGTTCCGTAACCACGTGTAAACATTATGGCATCCTGAGACGTTTTGTTACCGTTTTGTACGTCCTCAGAAAAAGATTCAAGTGGGTGAATTGTCAACGAGTCTTCAGATTATGGCTCTGATTTTGATGAATATGATTCTGACAGCAAACATTCATTTGGTAGCAAGACGGATGTAGTGATGATGATACCGAATCAACAATGTTTGAATTTGAAAAGGAAACAGGTAGGTGGATCTTGGTTTATAATACTATGTACTTTATAAAAAGGCTTATTGATATGTAAAAAATAAATAAATAAATAAACAATTTTGATGGGGACTTGATTATGGACAAGAGAAAATTTTTTACAAGACAATATCAGGTCATTCAATCACAGGGGCTTGTCACGAAATAATTACATGTATATTCTTTTAATAAAGTTAACCCTACTATAAAAATACACAAGTGTGTATTTTTATAGTAGGGGTAACTTTATTAAAAGAGGATAACTATTTTGTGACAAGCCCCTGTGGTACAATCACTAGATATAGCTATATATGTAGCTTTATTTACCTACTCAGTTACCTTTATTTACAAGGCCGTAACTAGGCCCCAATTTTAAGTGAGGCAAGGATCGTGGAGCCACTCGAATCCTTTGGAAAGAAGTCCTGATGGAGGCTTGGTGGGGGCAGGGGTCCCTATAAAGGTGGGTTTACTAAGTAATCAAATATAAGACAAAATTTTTGAAAGTTTACGCATTTTAATTTTTTTTTTACATGCCTTCTAAACTATGATGGTCGCCCGGCCGCGTGGCGCAGTGGTTAGAGCGTCCGGCTAGAGTCGCGAAGTAAGAATTTACTGAGTCAATCCGTACTTGGGTTCGAATCCCATTTTCGGACTTGGAGACCGGTCCTTCGGATGAGACCGTACAAGCCAAGGTCCAGTGTCGAGGTAGGTTTTCGCACGAAAACTATTCCTCCCTGCTCAAAGACCTAAGTGCTAAGTCTAGGACAAAATTTGCAAACTCTACATAGTCAAGTGGTAGCGTCTCCATATGAGTGAAAAATTCTCTTGTGGGACGTAAAGCAATAACTAATCGATCAATCTAAACTATAATGAAATACTGGTGAGATTATTGATTAACAGAAATTGAAACAATACTGTTGAAAGTATAACTATTAATTTAGTAGAAAGATGCACACATAAAACAGCTCAAAGTAAAACATTTTTGATTTTCAGAAAACTCTATTAATAAATTTTTAGTGAGGCATTTGCCTCACTTGCCTCAATGGTAGTTACGGCCTTGATTTACCTACCAGAAGTAGCTTTATTTAGCTACCAAAGTAATTTATTTCTATAAAAAATACCTACGTAGCTAAATCTAGTGATTGTACTGGACCTGAATATATACCTAGCAAACCTGTCAAGAGAAATTTCAAGGTTGGTACTTGTACATGTAGCAATAAAAATATCTGTATAAATTCAACAATATTGCAAAATATTCACATCTGCAGAATTATAAATAGCATAAGTAGCCTTTGTGGGGTGATGAAGAGGGAATGAAAAGTTGAATAGGTCAAGGGTTTTCAAAGACTGTTTACTAATAGGGTACATTAAGAATTGGATAGGTGGGTCTTCACTGTCAATTAAAGCACCATTATTAAAGAATCACATTAAACAAAATATTTATTTTCAGATATTTATGAAATGTTATGAAGATCGGGCTACAGTTATGATTTTCGGCTTTTCATACATGTATATGATTAAAGGAAAAAGAGTTGTCAAATACTTGTGCAGGCTTTTCAAATTAAAGGTCACCATGTGTTCCTTGACAGTGTTTAAAACATAACTAATATTATAAATATAAGTCTGGGAAATTATACTTTGTAAAGAATATTTCCTTTCATTCTTATATTTCTTTTGCAATTTCAGATTATTCAAATTCATTTCCCTGGTTAGGACTGGGCTTTACAATGGGATTTTCAGCTGTGGAGCTATAAAGAATTACTACATAGGGTTTCCAATGTTGTTTTGTGAACAGAATCCAGAAATAAGAAGAGGAAAGACAATGCAGATGCAGCATTAGCATTACCAATTACTTATAACTGCTGAGGAAATGGTAAAGATATGTTATATTATTATACCTCTACTGTAATTACTCTGTATAAATTAATACCATAAAACTCTATTTGCCCGATAAGTGACTACTGCCCTCATCTGAAGACTACTCCCTGGAAAATCAGAGTTGCTCCCTTGGACTACTCCCTCATGAATATTTATTAGTAATTTTAACCAATCAAAGTGTTCAGTGGGTGGAGCGTTCAAGGAATCTCGAGTCTGTGACGTCATGTTATTAGCAATGTAACATTTTGACATGTGATGTCAAAATCATACTTGAATTCTACCAAAATGAAGACACAATAATTTTTCGAAATGTCAGTGAAAATACTTTTTTAAAAATAATTTAATTGTTTAAGGACACGATGCTTCACTTATCATACAATGTGTTAAACCGCATGCATTTGTAATTATGCCTCTACAGTTTTTTTTTGAAATGTCGGAATATCTGGTTAAAAAAATTTAAATCGCCTATCATTGTTTCGGTATAATAAAAAAGTTATGGAATGGGAACACGGGAAATAGCAAATTTATAGTTCTCCTCGGCAGAAAACTATTTCCTCTGGGAAATAGTTTCCTCCCTCGGGGAATCATTAATTTGCTATTTCCCTCATACCCATTTCATAACTGTATACTATAGTACATGGATAGGAATTGCCTTGTCTGTCTGTCGATTCGCCACATGCATTTTTCCCTTCTCTGTTACTTTACTTCAAGGATATATGAAGCTCTTGTTTTCTTCAAGATAGCCAGAAGAATTTGTGAAGAATCATACCCAAGTCATTTGATGACATTTTCCTCAATTGATAAATTTAAATGCAGCATTATCATAAACATGACATTTATTTGAAAAATCTTAGAATATGTCTAGTATGGTTTATTTCAATTTAATTTGAAAACTGTGTTTTTTCACAGGTACCTGCTTTGAGTACTACTTTTGTGTATTTGGAGACAGTCCAGTTGTTCTTTAAACCAGAAGGGGAAATTTCAGTGCTTGTTAAATTTTCTCCAGCAGTTATTGGATGATATACATAGGAAGAAAATAGGGTCATACTGAATAGAATAGTTTGGATACACCTTATAGATTTTGAAGCTTGAGACCTCAAGATCAACCCAAATGATATTTAATATGTATCAGGTTTCACTTGCAGGAAAACACAGAAATTCAGAGTAAATTTTAAGTGTTTGTTATCTTAGAAAAGATCAAAGTTCAAGGGCAACAGTGCTTTAGTTTTACCAAATATAACACTATTATAAAGACTAATTTCCTGTATAAAGGTAAAGCATATAATTCATAATATGATTTGGGGAAACTGTGATTTTTTCTTTTAAATCTTACCTTAATTTAGAACCATGATGTATACTTAAGCAAGTAGATTTTTTTCAAGCATACAAAATTTCAAGGTCATTTTAATTTTGGAAGTGAATATAAAATATCAGGAAGCAGTCAAGCATTGTAATTTTTTTGTTGTTGAATATACTTAGTTATTGAGCAATATTCAAATTTTAATATGCAATGAAATTAAAGATTATAAAATAATTAATGTTCTAATTTGTTGATTTTTAAAACTTTGTGTTCATTCATTTTGAGGTTGTTGCCATGACAATATGTCTGTCAAGAAAATGGCTCTGATATTCCTTTTTGTTCAGTTTGACCCTTGACCTTTGACATTGTGACCTCAAAATCTAAAGGGGTCCTCTACTTTTCAAGAAACCAGTGTACTAAATTTCATATCTGTCAAACAATGGGTCCTCACGATTTTGAATGATTAAAATCTACATACTGGTATATCGAGAATTATAACCCTTGACCTTTGACCTTGTGAACTCCAGATTAAAAGGGGGCCATTTACTTATTAGTGGATACCAGTGTACTATGTTTATTATCTATCAAGCAAGTTTTTTTTAAGATAAGAGAGAACACACTTGGTCTACTGATTGACAAACAGGTACTAAGCAGTATGTGAATATCACCCTGCTCAAAGAAAATATAGAATAATACAATTCTGGTACCCCCCCCCCCCCAAATTAACCCCAATTAACCCCCTAAGAAATAATTATTGATTGAAAACAAAAATTTACAATATACTGGTATTTTTCAACAGCAAAATTTAAATTTTTGAAAATATGTAAATCAGCAAAATAACTCCTTGCTGAAGTTCAGGGATGAGAAAATTTGAAAATTCACAAAAAAATGTCCAACTTTAAGTTAAAAGTACAGCAAAATATTTGAGAGTCCAAAGACAGATTTTTTATATAATGTAGACAAACATGTTGTCTAATAATTTGTATGAGATTGGGTTGATTCTAAGCGTCACTTTCTGAGTTATAGGTTTTTGAAAAGTGAATATTTTCACCAGTTTTCAAAAATCTGGAAATATGCCAGATTTGTGACCTTTTTGCACTTAAACGAGGGCACAGTTTGTGATTATGAAAAATTTTCCGAAACAAGTGTATCTTGTTACTTTCAACCATATATGGATATTTTATATCATAATCAGGTAAAATGCTGAATTTTTAAATATAAAATCCTATAAAATTCCTGTTTTCACCCTGCGTAAGGACCAAGAATTCTATTTTTAGTAACAGTGTCGATTTAACCGCTTAAGTGAGACCACACTGAAAAAAATTTTGTGGAAAAATATTTCATATTATAGAAGAAATTTACACACAAAACATGAAGTTGATCAGAGAACCTTGCTCCCATAACCTCTTGCATGGTTTTCTCGTAGACATGCTCTTATATTAATTTATATTAGGTAAACATAAAAGAGGTGCTTGTTGACAAAAAAGTTCTAAACAACGACGAATTCCCGATGTATTTTAATAAGCTGAACAAAACAATGCAAAATGTCAAAACTAGATAATTATGTTAGAAAATAAAGTTAGAAAATAAAGAATTCTTTATTTTATCCTTTTTCATTGGTCAGATAAAATTGTCTAATGAAATTTTTATACAGTCGAACTACGTGCTAAGAACGTAAAAGGGATTATTTATTATAGAGAGACTGTGTAACGGATTTTTTATTTTTAATTTTTACAAATTATTGATGCTCAAATGTGCTTGCAGGAGGGATTGTAACTATTAGTATCACTGTGAACCAGATTTGATCAAACGTGAAACTAAATTGACTATATAAGGAAAACAACATATTTTCTAACTAGTCGTAGATTTAGAAGATTTTCAAAGAAAATTTCCTACTTTTGTTGACTTGGATCTCTGATATATGACGTGTATATTTTTTCAAGTCTAGAACAGTTTTCTTCCGTTGTAAGTTAAGCAAACACTGTCGTTGATTTGCAATTCCTCGTATTGTCATTTATTTGGCGTCTTCTGGGATAAAGTTTCAAAAAACTACGGCACTCTATCAAACAGACGGTGTTATGTTGTTTACAACCATAAAACACGCATTATATGTGCAACTGCCTCGTAGTGGACACCAACAGACTTTACATACAACATATTTCAGTAAGAACTAATAAACAGGCAAGTTAAAAGACGTATAAGGTATTGAGAAGTGAACATTTGGTTCTGAAAGATATACAAGAATCTATAATTTGTTGAATCTAACAATTTGCCGGTATGGTTTTGTCAATTTATCTTTTGATTTGCAATATAATAAACTTGAAGTTCTTAAATGACATGATTTCGCACGATCTTAAAAAAAAATATCTCTGAAATTGTAGTTCTACAAAAAAAATTGACAGCAACTTGACCAAAAGTGATTGAAAGAATAGGAAAGATATACGTGTTATCCTGAAATTTACAATATACAATGAACTTATTCCGCACAAGAAATGGCATACTAGTAGTTGGTATGCTTTTATTGTTACTACCGGCATTTTTGTGTCCATCTATATTTTCCCAAATCTCTCCAGCTCTTTTGTATTTATAAAATGCTGATCAATAACCGAATGCAAAGGACAAATCATTTCTTCATCATCTTTTTGAATGTATTCCTCTGAAAGGAAATAATCTTTGATATCCATGGCAATTAGCTTTAAATCGTCCACACGACATCTAAAGCCTCGTGCAAACAAGAGCTTTTTGTGAAATTTTCCTGCAAAATCATTTAATTTATTTTCCACCTTTTTTTTTGAATGAGTTGAGTTTTATCCCTTTCCAAAATGCAACCTGCCTTAGGATGAACAATTTGAAGTTGTATAGACTCATTTGTGACGGATAGAACGACAATGTATCCCTCAACTGAAAACAAAGCAGCATCTTTGTAGAGGCATGGTGTGTTGAGCGTTCTAAGCACTATCCAATTTTTCTCTTGCATACAAGTGACAACAAGACGAAAGAAGAAGAAAAAGGGTAGAAATGTAAATTGATAAACGAGAACAGATGATTTACTTTCCGATCGACGAATAAGTTCAGGGACAGCTGGCTCCATCTCCTTCCGGTTCATGCATGGAACATAGTGGGATTCCTCACCAACACCCAGTAAACCAAGTCTTTGCATGAAGTTAAGAAGTGATTCCTGATGGTATCCTAGGTATCTTTTATCGTCCTTGAAAGAGCGGAAACCCAACTTGTAATCTTTATTCTCTTTCTCTAGCATTTCAAACATTTCTTCGTCCTTGTATTTCCATATCTTTTCAAGAAGTATATTTCTCAATTTTCCACTTTCATAATAATCGTTCCAGTCCTGCTCATTTCCTGGAATACCCTCAAAATGAAGTTTGACTGTGATGATTTGTTTAAGGGCGTCAATAAACCACTGGATATCAATAACCAAATTTTCATTCAGACCAGTTTCTTCAAAATACAGAACTTTTCTGGCATCATGGTAGTATCGTAGCATGTCTAATTTTCCTTTTGAAGTTTCATTTAATCTTTTCTGAGAATCAGAAGCAATCTCAAGAACTTCTGTTGTTATTTCAGAGATTTTCATAATTCGATTAGAATTTTTCTTCTGGTTGAGTTCTATTTGAAAGAAAAACCATTCTTTCGGAATAATTTCTTTCCATCTCTGATGACAAGCAATGTCGTAAAAGCTTCTTTCTAAATCATCAAGAGGTACAGACAGCTGTATACAATGGAATCTATGGTCCATAAGACTGTATCAGGGTCCAAATACAGGAAATAAACTGCATACGATTTAATCGGCACTCTCAGCAAATGTACACAGTATAGTCTCCATCTTTAATTCCTCTCACACCACCTCTAAATACGGGATTGATAGAACTGCGCCGGAATTGAATTCCGGCTAACTTGATTGTAATTCCGCCAATTCCGAAAATTCAAGCTACTAACAGGTTGGGACCAATCGCGCAAATGGGATATAATAGTCCGTTTGGGATATAATATCCCAAATGGGCTATAAATTTACAGTGCAAAAATTGAAAATTTTTATTTTGTTATAAAAATCATAAATCCGCATTAGGGCACTTAAAAAGGAATAACTTTTGGTAAGCAAGTTTTTCTGCATCCCGACCGTTTGTTAGATTGATCCCGAAGAAGTTACAGAACTTCCGAGGGATCAATATCCTAAACAATGGGCATACAGGGAAACTTGTCAACCAAAAGTTATTTCTTTTTTCAGTGTCATGATGCGGATTTATGATATTTATAGCCAAAATAATTTTTTTTTTCAATTTTTGCACTGTAAATTTATAGCCCATTTAGGATATTATATCCCAAACGGACTATTATATCCAAATTGGGCGATTGGTCCCAGCCTGACTTATCAAGCACGCCCATTATGTAAAAAATACAGCTGTGTAAGAAGCCACACAAAGTGCTAGGGCCTACAGTTAAAATATAATTTTGCTTCTTTATTGAAGATTTTATTTACGGGATGTTTCCTCCAGAATATATAACACCCTTTCAACATAAAAATCCTAAATTATAATTACCTGTAAAACTTTGAACTGGGCATAGAATGGTTAGAAGAACGCTCTGGAGACTCAAAAATCGCGGTTGCATAAGCACAAGAAGTGATAAAGGCATAAGAATTGAAGGGCCGATCTCGAGAGAATGATCAATTCCGGAATTCATGTCTGACACGTAACGTATGTAAAAACCGTATGATCAGATGAGTGTGAAAATATTTTTCCTTTGTATAATATGAAAACAATACAGGTATAAACAAGTCAATGAATTTATTACAATGTAGAAGAATGTTCATGAAGTTACGTAAGAGGTACGTGTACCATTAATACTTTATAAAATTAAAAAAAAAATATGGAAGGTTAGGTTCATCTATTCGAAATCACTATAATATTTGTTTGTCATGAGGAAAACTTTGTTTTCCAATATTATTTAGAATAAAGATTTACAGAATTCTATTATTTTGATTAATCAAAAGAAAAAGATAGTAATTTAACATTCATAAATTGTTTTTAAAAAGTGAAGTTTAATAAATAAAATTTCTGCTTTTGATAGAGCTGAAATATGTACAGTACTTGGCCATAAATGAGTCATAATTTTATTTTTTCACTATATATTTCATTGAAAATCGCATTTTCTAAAATATTATCGCAGTGTCATTTGTTGTTTCTTTTTAATGTCTAAAACACCATAAAATGCAGAATTTGATGTAGTTTCTTCACATTATTTCAAAATAGTTTTATCTTTACGCATTAGCGTGAAATCACAGGTCAAGTGCAAAACAAAAATTTTATGACTTCAATTTGTTAAGAAATCATAGTAATTTGAGGTTTGAAAATTTTGTCTTGACAATATTTTATATTTTTTTTTTCGCAATGGTTTAAGTATCCTTTTGTTTATCATTGAAGATAAGAAAATTTGAATAATTCTGTATGTTTCGGTGAAAAAATCATAAAAACTGAGATAA